TTTTAGATTTGTTCTATTACATAGAGATTCAGTACGTTGACCATATTATAATTCATTCTTATTCCATAAGTAAATACAACAGGCATACGTACATGCACAAAACTAAATTATTGATATACGTACATGCTCAAAACTAAATATTTTATAATTTATGTATACTAACTACAATGATTATTCATTATAAAATTCAGTACTTAACATACTTATTCTCTACCTTCAAACTAAAAAAAAACAATCATACTTTTTCAAAATAATCGATTCTACTTACAAACTAAAACAATACATATCACACTTTAAACATATTATATACGACACAATTCGAAATTATAGTTTACAACATAAAAATGAATGTTCCCGCACAAAGTGCGGGTGAGAATATAGTTTGCCTTAAAACAATGAACTTTTGACCTTAAAATAACTATAGTTAACTGAATAGCCAAACCAGATCTTGGGCTAGGCTATGGTGCTATGGGCTGTGTAAATTCAGTAGAAAGCAATTAAAATCAATATTTTGATACAAGTTTTTTTTTTTTTTATCTCTTTTGAGGACTACAAACACTTTTTTACCAGATCAGATTCACTTAAGAAACTCTTCCTAAGAATCAGTGTCTTCAATCTCGTTGGGAGAGATAAGTCCAGGAATCGAAAGCATATTCTCTCTCTCTCCATATGAGCATCAGCTTCCCCAACATATAGATCTTTGTTATCCTGAAAGAAAAATATCCATTAAATAGAGAGCATTGAATCAAATGTTGTGGTCTAGTGAAATCTTGTACTTGATTATAATTATACCTGATCAGCTGAAAATTGCTTTGACTGTATCACAAAGTCTCGTATGCTATTCTTAAACATGCCTAGGTCGCTTCTGGACTCGGAAAGACCATTCACGAATTGTGTCACCTGTTTCAAGATAAGTGGCTACAGAATCACACCGAAGAAACAAGAACAAGCAAATCCTCCAGTTTAAGTTAGTTAGTTACCTCTGATGTAGTCATGTTCGGGAATGATGAGCTTAGAAGCTTGATGGTGGATACACGGACAAAAGCGGCATTGTTTAGATGCAGATGAGGTACCATTGCAGTATCCCACAAAGATTCCGTCAGAGAACCGTTCTCAACCTGATTAATTTTATAAGTCAGATTTTTCCTTCAATCCCACAGAAACTAGCAAATGGTAGACTAATATGCATATTTTACCAGAGAAAATAGATGTTGTAGCACCAACACATGCAACTTGAACCCCGACCTATGGAAAGTATCGGTCAAGACGGCAAATATTTCTTGCTCAATTTGAATAAAGTATGTCTTGTAGAATTGGTTACACAAGTCAGATTTCTGTCACAATCAGGGAGAAAACATGTTAGATCAGGCACATTTATGGGAGGGGCTAAAAGCTAAACAGCCAACAGACAAAGAGAGGGAAATTCCAAAACCTGAAACTTTTTCAGCATCTCCAGCAAGAGGTTAAGCCCAGTTTCGGCGATATTTCTCTCCATATGCCTAATTGCCCAGATAACTAAATCCATCACAAGCTTTAGTTTCTGATGATTAGAGGCACAAAGACACGGAAAGCTCAGGGATTACAAGAAAACTATCAATACATAAAACAATAATAGCCTTTTAAGATCACACAAATAAAACGAAAAATAATCACCAACCTCAATTGACAACTGTATCAAGACACGGTCACAAAATTGAGCTATAGCAAAAACTAACGCGAAAAACTTGAGGCAGTGCTCTGGATCAGCTTCAAAATTCATAGTAATCAGCTGCATTAAAAGAAGAATGTATTGGACTTGTAGTGTAACAAACATAGAGGGGAAGTAATTTCTATGGACCATAAGATCTGTTACCTCCAAAGCGCCCTGCCCCTGGAAAACAGCTTCAAAAATATGAGGCGCCACCAAATCTTGCATTACAACCTTGTACCTACACGAACACCTCACAAGTTGCTGGCTCAGAAAGGTAGATTTCCATGTTAAGACTTCTTTTGAGTTTCTTACACTATCCAAACATTTATGCATAATCCACAATGATTATTAAATATATACTCTCAAATTGCAGAGCGTAAAAAACATCCTGGACTAATAAGGAAAGGCAGGCATCAACAGACAAGACACGTACTTGTTTATTAACATCGCAAAGAGTGATAGAACTTCTGATTCCCTTCCACYCCAAGCATTTGTTCCATAGTCACTAACTACTGGATCCATCATTGGTAGAACAAATTGTTCTACAATGCCTGGCAGGTTTTCAGCTTTGTCTAAAAACGTTTCTATCAGAATAAGGATTGCCTTCTTCACAGACCTGTTCCATGAAGCATTAAGATGCAACATTATTCCATTTTGTAAGAGAGGGGCGTCAAGACCTGTTATTTTGTTTTGTATATACCTTAGTTCTGTCCTCAAAGCAATGTTGTTTGGCACGAGCTCACTGTACATTCTGGTGGAAAAGAGGAAGATTGTTACTAAATTATGTTAAAATAAACAGAACGAGTGCCTCCTAACTCTCTTTAGTATAAAGAAATTACCTGTAGATTTCCAGCATATCCGAGAAGATCCGTGAAAATTGGTGTAAGAAAGAACTTCCTAGTGAAGTGGCAACCACCGTATTTGCCTGCACACAAATATAAGTTATACACCTTGCAGTCAAACCAAAGTCTACCAATGCACCATGAGGGAACACTACTTTTATGTATGAAAGTCATGAAGATGATAAGAAAAACAAAAAATACCAAAGTCAGATATCAAACCTGGATGACACCAAGCACATAACGTATATTATTTGGCACCATGAGAACATCTGCCCCCTGACGTGCTTGCGCTATAAACTGTGGCCATTCCTACGTTGCACAGAAAAAATATATAGCTTTAGCAAGGTATGGCAGGCAAACAAAAGCCGAGAAGTACTTTTTTCTACTTCACAAACCTTATTCGCGAAATCCATCAACCTCTCGAGGTAATCAGCCTTCCTCTGAGGATCTGGTTCTGCCTGGACCATACAACCAACCTGGACAGAGAGAAACACTTAGATAACGACAAGAAATAGTTTCCCATCTCAACTAAAAGAGACACGGCTGAAAATACAWACAGCTTCATAAAATGTGAAAAACTGACGAGGCTCAAGATCTTCAACAATTGTCGGAAAGCGTAATAGAATTTCATATAAAAATGGCTCGCTTTCTTCAGGCTGAAAAAGCACATAATATCTCATTTTAGATGATAAATTAATAAATAAAAAGGAACACTAAAAGAACGAGGGTGTACCTGAACATAAACAAATTCGAACTTCAACTGCTGAGCAATTRCTATGAATGTCTCGCAACCCAGATCCTGAAAGGAATACAATTTTTAAGATATATATCACAAATTTTAACTTCTGCAGAAMTACAACAATACAATAAAAAATTACCTTTAGACCGGGATGAGGATAGTTCATATACTCGAACAGCCTACGAACTATTATTTTTAAAATCGTCCAATTGCCCATTAAGAATCTTGTAGACCGAGTAGCTAYATACCTGAAGCGAATGTACAAGAACTCATGTCAAATACTAAAATGATCCACTTTTAGTAAAAAATCTCCTGCTACATAAGTACCAACAATCCAAGCCCAAATCATTGTATAGGTTTCACTATTAAGATCTATGAGGTAGMAACAAGCTCACATGATGTTAGTTGCAATAGCAGCTTTATAGTCGTTGTCCTTGGCAATTGCACATAAACTACACAGATCTTTTAAGACCCTCACCAGAAATCYGTTTTCCTGAAAAAAGATGCGGAGTTCAGATGATGAAAAATCAAGAGCACTAATAACATTAGAAAGATGCCACCGGCTACAGCCAAAAAGGTATTTTGATACAAGTAGACACCGAGAGCGGAGATCTTACCTGTTCTGTTCCCATGGAACCAGAAATAGACCCAATAGCACAGCATAAAGTGTTCAGATTGTCCCAAGGCCGGTTCTCTTTTTTTAGCAGTTGGCGTATCTCTGTGCTTATCAGTTTGCTTGACAGTTGGCGTATCTCTTCGCTTAGCATACTCARTATCTTCATGGGAACAAGAAAAGGTTGACATCAATACAACATGATCAGCCAAGACTCTAACCTTACAAGACACGGCTACTCCGCATGTTAGAATTTATTTAACACTCTACTGGTCTTCTCCTCTAAACAAAGGGATAGCTTTTGTAGGCGCTATACTTTATCATAATCCTCCAAATGCTAATAGTCAATATATTTCACAGCATATACAAGTATTACAGCGATATACTATCGTAGAGAACATAAACGTAATTTGAAAACTAAATCATTCCACATAATAATCATAAAAGTAATCTGGCACAAATACCTGTTGTTCGGTATCATCAGGATCAAGGTCTAAAAGGTTGATTAATGTCTTCCGCACTAACTGCAACGATGTAAAATATAAAACGGGAATACCATATAATAAGACTGAGAGGTAGGATATCTTTCTAATAATATCATAACAGTATTGGTATACTATCTATCAAAGGTTGTTAAAATTTTCCAAACAAAATCATGGGTTAAGAAAAAGAGAACAGTGTCAATAGAGC